TCCGCTTCCAGGGGCCTTTGGGCCCCACCCTGACCTTTACCGCTGAGGCGGGCTCACCCGGCGGCGGCGGCGGCGGGGTGGGGCGGACCGGAACTGCGGCGGGCAGAGCGGGCTGAGCGGGGAAGCCCCCAGCCGCGCACGCTGGTCCTGTCTCAGGGCCCAGAGTGGCGCCAGGGCCATGGAGCAGCGGCCCCGGGGCTGCACGGCGGTGGTGGCTGCGGTGAGTGGAGACGCTGGGAGCGACATGGAGCCTTGTCTGGGCCTGGGTCCCCCGCGCGGCAAAGGAAGGGGGCCCCGTGAGTCTCTGCTCCCCGGCATCACTGGGGGATGGCCCCCCTCTTCTGACCTAGTTAGAGGCTCAGCCGGGGCGGAACCCTTCCGCTGAGAGGAAACACCCTCCCAGGGAGCCGAGGGGTCTGGGGCCCCCAGGCAGAGAAAGATCAGGGTCCCTCCACCACCTTCGAAAAGCACTGGTGGGGACGGAGCTGCCTGATTCTGCCCTGGTGGAGGGTAACCCGCGTGAGAGGGGCTGGCGGGGCCATCTCTGCTTCTTCCAAGCCTGTGCAGAGGGGGAAGGAAGTTACTCTCACCCTTACCAGGGGCACCCCTTCTGCTCAAGAACCTGAGAATTGGGCTGCTCTGAGGGCAAATGCTGGGGTCTCTGAAGTTAGAGAGACTGGGCGGGCAGAGGCCCCAGCGTGGGTCAGCCACTGGGAACCAGCAGCACCTGTCCCCCAGGCTCTCCTCGTGCTGCTGGGCACCCAGGGCCAGGGCAGCACTCCCAGCCCCGGGTGCGACTGTGCCCACAACTTACAGAAGAGGAATCCTCTGTTCTGTTGCAGGGGCTGTCCAGCAGGTAAGTAGCTAAATGGGTGGGAGGGGTGTCGGGAGACTTGAGGGCACACTGGGGGCAGGCGGGCAGGCCGGGGAGGGAAGGCTGGGGGAGAAATAGGGAGCCGGACGTAGGCGGGAGGGAGGGGAAGGTCAGAGCCCGCTCTGGCTGTCTGACGCCAGTCTCGGTTCCACAGGGCACTATCTCACGGCCCCCTGCACAGAGCCTTGTGGCAACATCACCTGCCTCCCATGCCCTCAAGGCACCTTCCTGGCTAGGGAGAACCACCATGAGACCAGCTGTGCCCGCTGCCAGGCCTGTGATGAGGAGGGTGAGGGGCTGCCTTCTGCTCAGTGGGGGTTTCCTGAGGACAGGCTGTGGTCAGGGTCTTTCTGAAGGAAGTGGCTGGCTTGGGCCCCACCTGTGGGTGTGAGGGCCCCTGTGCCCACCTATCTCAGGCCCGTCTACCCTGATCCGCCTGAGATGCCTTTGTGCCCTCTCTTCCTGGTGACTTTCATGTCTCTGTCCAGGCCTCAGACTTAGGTCTCTGGTGATGCTGTGCTTTTCTCTCACTTGAGCTGGCCCTGATTCTGGTCTATCCCTGTCTCCGTTCTTTGGGGGATCTGCCCCACCTCTCCATGGGGGTTTCTGCCCCTAATGGCCTCTGCTCTCCCCATCTCCCTGCATTCCCCCACCAGCCTCCCAGGTGGCCCTGAAGAACTGCTCAGCAGTGGCAGACACTCACTGTGGCTGCAAGCCAGACTGGTTCGTGGAGTGCTTGGTCACACACTGCATTGGCGGCTCACCCTTCCGCTGCCACCCATGCCTAGACTGTGGGGCTCTGCACCGCCACACGTGGGTATCCTGTGAGTACCCCCTCCATATGGGCTACCTACCCTCACACCCCCTCCCCTTGCCACCCCCACTCTTATCTTGACCCACACCATCTGTTGGACTGCAGGTTCCAGCAAAGACACTGACTGTGGGACCTGTCTGCCTGGTTTCTTCGAATATGGCAACAGTTGTGTGTCCTGCCCCATGTAACTTGCTGGCTGCCCCGGGTTGGGGGAAGGGAGGCTGGGAGCGGAGTTGGGGTCCAGAAGAAGGGAGGAAGGGCTTAGCCCTATGATCGGTAGGCCCCGCTTCAGGCAAACATTGGGTGGTAAAAGGAAATCTGGATTCACCTATGCCAGATAAGTAAGGCTTCCTTTAGTAATCCTTCCAGCTGTACATTACAGATAGGATTTGTCACTCACAGAGACAGTCACATTGACATAGTTTCAAAACTTGGGCTAAGAATCAGAACCTGCCCCTTGTTCTCTGGGGGACCATGGGCAAGTGACTTCGCCACTCTGATCTGTGGCTTCCCCATCTGAACATGGGGATGTTGTTAGTAAGTCTGCCTCAGAACCTCTACCATTTCCAGACGGTGTTTGAGGTGCTAGGGATACAACAGGGAAGAAAATCAGTAAATCCCAGTTCTTCTGGAGTTGACATCCTAGTGACTCTCAGTTTGGTCTAGAAGCAGCTCCATCAATAGTGGTTGTTGGTACTGTTACTGGGGACACAGGTGATACTTCGGCAGTACTTCAGGGACATTCTTGGTGTAAGTGAAGCTCCTAGGGAAGAGGCCTAGGGAGGGAAGGGCCTTTAGGATAGAGAAGATGTCAGGCAGTCCTGGGGAGCCCCTCCTGGTGTGTAGGCCCTCATCCCCCACCTTAGCCCCTCCCTTTGCAGGAGCACCTTCTGGACCTGTCCTGAGCCCTGTGCGGCAGTCTGTGGCGGGAGGCAGAGTAGGTGGTGTGCTGGGAACGCAAGTGGGAGAGCTGGGATGGGCCAAGGGGAGGTTGGGGGGTGCCCACCACCCACCACCCACCAGCTGCTTTTTCAGTGTTCTGGGTCCAGGTGCTTCTGGCAGGCCTGGTAGTCCCACTCCTGCTTGGTGCCACCCTGACCTACATATACCGCCGCTGCCAGCCCCGCAAGCCCATGGTTCCCGGTAAGCGCGTGTGTGCACATACACGCGCACACACACACGCACACACACATCCACACTCCTAGGGGCCTGAGGTCAGGACGGGTAGCCCAGAGCCTACTCAGCCCTGATGTGGGTGGGGGGAACTAAGGGAGGGAGTGCTGGGGGTGGTGTATGTGCAGAGGAACCCAAGAGGAGCTGGACCAGAACCCAGGTTCAGGAGCCCTGCCTGGTTGCTGATTAGATTTTCTTGTCTCTCTCAGTAGATGGAGCTGGGATGGAGGCCCTGACCCCCCAGCAGGTAAGAATCTCAGTAATGTTCTGCAAGAGGGTGAGCAAGCACCTAGGCCTCAGCCTTCTGGAGCTGAGAGGTTGGGCTTTGTTGTAACTCATGGTCCCCAGTGCGTGGCACGGTAGCTGGCATGGAGTAGACCTCATGAACACATGTGCCGAGTTATCAGTGAATGAGAGCAACACAGTGCTCATACTCAAGCAACTCTCAGTCTGCTGGGATTCAGACAGGTAAACAGGAGCTAACAGTTCAGTGGGATGAGTCCACTGTGGTGAGGGCGGGGGCAATGGTACTCCAGGCGAGGCCATAGCTCTTTCATTGGGCCAGGTGAGAAAGCATGGCCAATGCCAGGGAGGCGGCACTGGGGATATTTGCTGGCCAGAGACCCCAGCAGAGGGGCCTTACTAAGTAAGCAGGGCTGACCTGGGGTCTCTCTTGGCTTCCAGGACACTCACCTCTCACCCCCGGACGGTGCCCACACCCTTCTAGTGCCACCCAGCAGCAGTGAGAAGGTCTGCACCATCCAGTTGGTAGGCAATAGCTGGACCTCTGGTTCCCCTCAGATCCAGGAAACGCCCTGCCAGGAGATGCTATGGTCCTGGGACCAGCTGCCCAACAGAGCTCTCGGTAAGGGACATCAGTGGCCTGAGGCCTTGACTCCATTCTCCTAAGTCCGAGGTGAAAAGCCATGAGACACCCCTTGCCCACTTCCTGTCCCCTGACCTAGTGGACCACCCAGCCTGTGTACCCGCCCCTACCCCTTGGCGGCAGCCCGCATTCCCATTGGCTCTCTCTGGCCCGCCTTCAGGTCCACCGCTGCCACCTCCCATGCCTTCGCCAGTGCCGCCTACAGGCTCAGGGGCCGCCATGCTCCAGCCTGGCCCGCAGCTCTATGACGTGATGGACGCGGTGCCCGCACGGCGCTGGAAAGAGTTCGTGCGCACGCTGGGGCTGCGCGAGGCCGAGATCGAGGCCGTGGAGGTGGAGGTCTGCCGCTTCCGCGACCAGCAGTACGAGATGCTCAAGCGCTGGCGCCAGCAGCAGCCCGCGGGCTTGAGCGCCATCTACGCGGCCCTGGAGCGTATGGGGCTGGACGGCTGTGCAGAGGACCTGCGCAGCCGCCTCCAGCGCGGCCCGTGACGCAGGGCCCATCCGCCACCTGGGAGCTCTGGTGGCCCTTACAGAAGCCCTAAGTACCGTTACTTATGCGTGTAGACATTTTATGTCACTTATTAAGCCTCTGGCACGGCCCTGCTTAGAGGCGCCAGCCGTTCTCCCCGCTCCGCACCCTCAGTGTTCTGGTTAAGGCGAAGCAGCATCGACAAACATCAGGAGGGGGTCAAGAGATTGCTCGGCTGTTTCTCGGCCAGAGTTTGGTTGAGGCCTTGGTATTAAATCTATAAGGAAAAACGAATGCTTGGCGTTTCCGCGGTGTTGGGGTGTTAAATGTTTTGGGCTTGGTTTCCTGGGAGCGTCGAAAGGGCCAGAAGTCTTGCCACCCAGGGTCTGGGACCCATGGTGGGGGCCGGAGTGGTCCTTAGCGCCTAAGCCTGCCCCTCCTTCTCTGCTGTGGCCCAGTTGCCCCGAGGAGAGGAAGTCGGCGACAGCGAACGAGAACGTGAGCCCCGGGCGGCGGAGAAGAGCTTTAATGGGGGTGCGAGACAGCGGGGACCAGGGAGGCAGAGGTCGGAGACAGGTTCAGGGCCCCTCGTCCTCCACTCACTCCACCACAGCAGTGAAAGGGTCCAGGGAGCTCGGGGCCTGGCTTGGGACGGCGCGCAGACTTCACCGGAGGAAGGTGGGGGCAGAGGTGGAGCCCCGGGAGCGGCAACTCCGTCCCGACGGGCAATTTGCAGTTTTCATCGTTTCTGGTAAACAAATGACTGAGAGGAAGCCCTCGGCAGGGATGGGAAATGAGGCCCGAGCGCATATCTGGGTCAGGGAGGGAGGAAAACCCCTTCCCCGAGCGGAACGCGGGGCCTGCCTCCGCCCAGGATGCGCCAGCGACGCGGGTTCCGGGGTGCGGGGGAGGGAGCTAAAGCCAGGCGCGCACCCCTAGGGAAAACAAAGTCACCACCCACGGGGCTGGGAAAAGCTCTGCACACGCTGACATTGAACGAACATGCAAATATATGTAAATAGGCATGCAAATAAGCAGCATCTTTTACGTCAACGACTTGGGCACTTTTTCTGGGCCACCGCAGCGGCGGTGGGCGCGCTCCAGCGTCGTCCCGGGCTGGGAATGCGAGGGCCGGGGTGAGGGTCAGGGTGGGGTTCCAGCGCGGGAGGGGAGGGCGGTGTGGCTCCCAGCCCTTCCGTCTGGGCCGGGCAGGCCGGGGCGGGGGCCTGCTTTCCCCCGCCCCCGCCAGAACTCTAGAAGATGCGAGCAGGAAAGCGGCATCTAGTACTTAGCGATGTCCCCCTTCTTCAGGATGATCTGTCGCTGCCAGGGCGCCAGCTTGGTCTCGTCGTAGCCCAGCGTCCGCAGCTTCTCCGACTGTTCTTTTTCCCGCTGCATCTCCTCCTGCTTCTGTCGTTCCTCCTCTTTCCTAGGCAGAGGGTGGGGGCAGAGCCGGGGCAAGGGTGAGAGGGTGGGCCAGGCTCGCCGGTGGCAAGGACTGGGTGACTGAGGGCAGGGGCTGGGTTGCTTAGGACAGAGGGACCAATGAATGGTAGGCAGAAGGGCTAGGTGACTGGAGACGGGGGTTGGGTCAGGTTGCTGGCAGGTGGGATTCCCGGGCACAGACCGGGGTCATGGTGGCACGCATAGGAGCCGGGTGGCAAGAGGCTGTGGTTGGGTGACTGCTGGCTGGGGGGTGTTACTGGAAACAGAGGCGCTGAGTCACAGTGTGGCAGAAGGTGAGGAGGGGTGGTTATGTGGGCAGGGGACGAGATTATGGGGTCTAGGACCTGAATTACTGGGGACTGGGTTTGGGTGGCTGGCAAGCAGAGGGACCACATTCCTGGGAGACAGTAAGTAGGGACAGGTTATTAGAAGGTGGGGGCTAGACCTGCACTGCTGACAAGGTAGCCCCTGAGCACATATGGCTGTCTGTCGAGCATTGTAAATGCAGGGACTGAGAAGTATGGCAGGTGTGAAGGGGCTCATGGCATCTCAAACACTTAGATTTAAAGAGTGTGGAACATCTCATTAATTTTTCTATTGATTATATATTGAAACATGTAATTTCAATTGAAGTTATACGTATTGAAATAAATATTTGAATTTTGACATATTGGATTCTATAAAATATACTATGAAAATTAAGTTCACCTATATCTTTTTTTTCAACTTGGCTGATACAAAGGTTAACATTACACATGTGGCTCTCATCATATTGGGTTGTCGGAAAAGTCGTGACTCATTTTTGCAACAAACACACAAAAAGAATGTCATGACTTTTCTGACAACCCAACATTTCTATCGGACAGCACTGAGCTAGATTACTGGGGGTAGAAACTAAGTTTTGAGGGAAAGATGACCAAGGTTATGATACTGAAGTTGGTTTACGTGCAGAAACAGAAAGACTAGGCTAATGGGAGATGGGGGCTGGGTAATTGGGGGAGAGGGGCCTAGTGGCATTACTGGGAACAGAGCGCCTGTGCTATGATGTGACAAGGGGATGCACTCAAGATGGGGCTGGATGAAGCCTCTGTGACTGGGTGTTGGGAAGGGAGGCAGGTCGGGCTCAGCCCCACGCTCACCGCTTTTGCTCCCTAGAAGGAAAAAGAGACAGCATTAGTGGGTGCCGCCTTTTCAGGGGCACAATCAAGACATCCTGCCAGGCCCTGAATTTTTCAGACCCCCAGCTCACCTCTCCTCTCCTAGCTTCTTCCTCAGGAGGTCCCGCCTCCAGGCAGGCATGCTGGCCAGCCTGGCCTCCTCTTCCTCCTCCTGAAACACAAGTACAAAGCTTCAGGGCCAGCATGGACTGGGAGGTAGGGGGCCAGAGGAGGTCCACCCCTAACCTGGGAGACCTGCACCAGTCAGGGACAACAAGACACAGATGGGATTCCTGGAAGAGACCCTTTCGATGCCCTTCTACAGGGCAAATGCATGAAGGCCCCTGGTCACAGCCGCCTTGGAGGAGGCCTCCTGTTGCCCCTCCCCAACAACTCAGGCCCAAGACCTAGAGGCTGTGCCAGAGAGGTCAAAGCTGAGAGCAGGAGGTATAGCGGGGAGAGCAGGGAATGAGATTCTGTACAGAGGCAGGTGGACAGATGGCCCCAGGCCTGTGACCCAGAATCTCTGGGATGGCCCATACTTGGGCCCCCAAAGATCCTGCCAGCTCAGAGAAGCTCAGGCTGCACCCTGGTTCCACTGTGAAGGACCTTCTGGCCCATGCCTGTTCTAGTTCCAAATGGAGTAGACACCAGCTCTACAACTGTGCGCTGCAATGACATTTGTGGTGGGGGCATCCAACACAGGCAGCTTACAGGAAAGAGTTTTATTACTTGCATGTTACATAGGAGAACACGTCACACGGAACACTGCACACGTGGCTCCCTTGACCTCAGCCAAAGAGGTAGCTGTGAACTCCAGTAAAAAACCAAAGAGGGAGAGCCACACAGCCCCAAGGGGGACCCACAGTCCCTCGCTCAGAGGGGCTGCCTCTTTCACCTGGCTCCACCCAGAGCCAGGTGAGGCTGTAGGGCCAGAGGGGGACACCTGGTCTGCCCTGTGCCAATGCCCAGCCTATCCCAGCCAATGCCCCACATTCAGCCATGATGGGACCTCAAAGGCTGAAGCAGCCTGGTCCTGGCATTCTGGGTTTTCCAAGGCCACCGTCCTGGGTTCTTCCTGCCCGCTTCTGGCCTCTGGAGGGCATCAGACAGGCATCCAGGCCTGGGTCAAGATGCTTGAGGGCACATTCCGAACTCCGCTGCTCATATGTCAAAGAGCTCCGCCTCCTTCTCCTTCCAGAAGGAGAAGCTGCGGTCGATGTAGCGGCAGATGTCCTCGTTGCTGAACTCGCCCATCTCAGACACCAGCTCCAAGGGGTCTTCGGCGGGGGCTTCGGAACTTGGGGGGCCCAACGTCGGGGGAGGTGCGGCTGGCGGG